GAATAACTGAGGATATCCGAATAAAGTGTACAGTCTGTTTAATAGTATAGTATTATGGTATACAACACTACATTGTATACTACACCATATAACATATTGACTGTGTTAATATAACATATAATATGCTGTCATATACCCATAGTATATGACAGATGTTAGCTTCTTAGTTTTGGTAACTGAAGCCTGGTTATGTCATATGCTAAAATCAGAGAAAGCTGGATAAAGAGTATCTAGAATTCTGTACTACTTTCACAACTCTTCTGTAACCTAAAATTATTTAAAAATAAAAAATTAAGAACTATACATTAAAAATATATTATTTATTTTTGCACATATATATTAGGGAAAAAATTATACTCCAGAATGTTAACATTTTGGGTGGCACAATTAGTGATGATTAAATTTTTAGCTTATGTTTTCTAATGTGCTTGTATAATTAGCATGTTTCACATGTGTAATAAAAACAAAAGTAGGGGGCACCTGGGTGGCTTGGTCAGTTAAGCGTCAGACTTCTGCTCAGGTCATGATCTCATGGTTCATGAGTTCAAGCCCTGCATTGGGCTCTGTGCTGACAGCTTGGAGCCTGGAGCCTGGAGCTTGGAGCCTGCTTTGGATTCTATGTCTCCCTCCCTCTCTCTGCCCCTCCGTTGCTGGTGCTCTATCTCTCTCTCTCGAAAATAAACATTAAAAAAAAATAAAAACAAACAAACAAACTCGCCCCCACCACCCAAACAAAGTGGGATTATACATACTCTCTGGTAACCTGCTTTTTTCCATTATGAACATCTTCCTATCTCAATAAAAATGCCATCTATATATTCTTAAATTTTTTTTTTTAAGTTTATTTGAAAGAAAGTGTGCGCGCGTGAGAGAGCGTGAGTATGAGTGCGGGAGGGGCAGAGAGAGAGAGAATCCCAAGCAATCGCCAAGCTAGAAGCATGGAGCCGGATGCGGGGGCTGATCTCATGAACTGTAAGATCATGATCATGAAACCAAGAGACGCTTAAGTGACTGAGCCACCCAGGCGCTCCCCTCCCCCCATCTCTATTCATTCTTAAAGGTTGATTGTATGTGGCTGAATGTATACAATGTGTACAATGAACATGCCTTAATTTACATGGCATACCCTTCAATTGTCTGGAATTTTTCCAAAACTATTTTTTTTTTTTTTACCTCATTTCTAATTCATTTTCTATGAATTTGCCTATTCATATCCTTAACTCTCTTCTGACTTGTCAAATGTTCCTAGTTTGTTTGCTTTGCTACTGTATCTTTTGCTTGGCTGAACAGGGGTTTTATATTTTCATACATGTAGTCAAACCTATGTAACCTTTACGTTTATTTCTTCTGCCTTTAGGAAATCTATTAAAATCCTCCTGCATTCTAAAATTATACAACAAGGATAGTGAATTGTATTACTGTCATAATTTTTTACTCCTCCCTCCCCAAGCGAAGAATACACAAGTGGATGCCATGTTCACCCCCAGCAAGCAGATGATTTAAAAAGCATTGCCTTTTCCCCTTTGCTACACAAGTGACATGCTTTGTCAGAAAAGGTGCTTCTCCTTTAGTTGGGAGCATGTGGAAGAGGGCCAAGCAGCTGGCTAGCAGCTGTCAAATGTAATGTGAGGAAGAGGCTTTGTTGTTCTCAGACACTGAGATTTGGGGTTTTTTGTTATTGTTACTGCAGCAACAAAAAGTAAAATAATAACCATCTGTCCTTTCTTTTAAACTTCTTATCACTTATCTTCATTTTTGAGTAAATGGTAACTTGGACGGTGTAGAATTTAGGGAATGACAACTCTTCTCATCAAAGTTCAATTTAAGACAGGCTGTGTTTGAGGTACATAAGGGACATTCATCCTAGGGAGTATGCTCAGGACAGCGCTCCTCTAACTTTTCCACCGAAGTACCCTTAATGGGCAGAGCAAACTAAAAATGGGGATTCTGGGGACACAAGCCAAAATACCACTGCTGGTGTGAATTTCTTTTAAATTTCTTACCTTACAAATGTTTATTTTGCTCAAATTTTTGTGAACTAAACATTGGAGGAAATCATTCCAAGTTTACTTCTTGGGGCTACGTATATCTCAGCACACTGGCATGTGCTCTGGTTTGAGAGGCACAGCAGGAGAGAGCTGCAGGCTGGAATCCGAGAAGCACCATGCCCACAGGCTTTCGCGCCAGACATAATAGGCTCAAATCTCAGCTCTACCAAGTTTTCTGCCTTTTTTTTTTTTTTTTTAAAGATTTTATTTTTAAGCAATCTCCACACCCAATGTGGGGCTTGAACTCACACCCCCAAGATGAAAAAGAGTCGCATGCTTTACTGACTGAGCCAGCCAGGCACCCCTGCACCAATTTCTTGAAAGGTGTGACCTTGGCAAGACAGTTAACTTCTCTCTGAAGTATAGCTCCTCTGTGAAGTGGAGATAAGCTTCTACTCATTGTAGGTAGAACTAATATGTAAAGAAACTAGGTACAGTGTCCAGCATAAACTGGCCCCTAATATTAAAAGTACCTCAGGAAAAAGGTCAAAGCCAAAATATAGAATCAGGAGACAGCAACATATAGGTGATACCTGAAATAAATACACGGGTATAAATGAACGTCTCAAGGGAAAACTTCAAAAGTAGTCAGAAAACCAGTGAATAAACCAAAGAAGAGTTCAGGAGAAAAAGTAGATAGACAAAAATGTCAAATATTCCATAAAGGTAAAATGAAAAGAGAATACTAGATTGCCAAGTGAGAAGGAATCTGTATCTTTTAAAGACATAAGAGTGGTGTGGTGGTCACAGAAACCACATTCTAATGAATGGAAGTTGGAAAAGTAGCAGCAGCAGTAACATGGGAATAAAGGGAAAAGGGAACCACAGCAGAGTCAATGGGAAGTTTCCTTATAGTGAAACTAAATCCAAGACAAAGTATTTTATTTATTAAAGAGTCCGTGGTAAGTCAGGTAGCTTCCCTGAAGATCTCGGGCCAGCAAAGGTTGTTAGGAACTGCAGCTATGTATGCCCTGTCCCTAACTTGGGGTGTATGTATATGGGGGGAGGGGAGGGGGTGGGAGAGGAAGGGGCGAGACATAAATTACATGGATAAAAAAGGAAATTTAGTCTGCCAGCCAAATTAACAAGTTTTCATACATAGGCAGCTCTCTGCTATATACAAGAGAGCAGACAAGAAGCTATACGGTGCTGCCTCCTTACCCACTGATTACACCGCCTCTTAGTCTTTTCTATATACGGGGAAACATTTCTGGCCCACAGAGCCCAACTACATAGACACAACATGAAGTCCTTCTGTTGTTTTTATCATCAAGAGGGTTTATCTTCCATCGGATTGCTCTACTGTGTCTTGATTAGAACTGGTTTCTTTACTAGGCGCTACTGTTTTAAATTTTACAACCTGGCCTTTACTAAAGACTTCTTAATCGGACTTACTTCAAATTTTTGAAAGGGTTAAACATTTCTTTACAAACATTTTAAAACTGAAAAGATTTAAATACAAAGTTTAATTTATATTTTAAAATATATTTAAATGAATGCAGCTTTTAATGCTTCTGTTATAATTCCTAAGGAAAATCACAGACTGATGGAGCACAAATAAAATAAGCCACTTGGCATATTTTGAACTCTTTTCCTAATATCCCAGAAAAAGCCCTGCCATTTCTCATAGCTTAGATGTAATTTACTAACACTCTATAACAGCTAAGAATATTTTAGGAACAAAAGAGGTTGAACTGAACAGAAACAGGAAACTTCATAAAAACAAATATTTCGAGGGGTGCCTGAGTGGCTCAGTCAATTAAGTGTTGACTCTTGGTTTCAGCTCAGGTCGTGATCTTATGGTTCGTGAGATTGAGCCCAGCATCAGGCTCTGCGCTTGACAGTGTGGAGCCTGCTTGGGATTCTCTCCCTCTCTCTCTCTCAAAATAAATAAATAAATAAGTAAATAAACATTAAAAAAAAAATTTCAACTGAACATTGCAGTTACAAAGTGCCTTTAGAGGAATAGGATACTTGTCCCATAGAGCAGCCCTTTGGGCAGGTGGTGGAATCTCGTTTTACAAAGAAGAAAACTGCAGCTGAGAGGGTTAATGTATTCTTCCAAAGTCACAGCAAAAAGGGCAGTCCAGGACTTGCATCCAGACAATCTAAATTCAATCCCTACATTTCTTTTATCTCATCACAGTGTTTGAAAAATCTTGGGATGAACAGCAGAGGAATATTTTCGCCAATATCAAATGTTTCGATCTTTATATATACCTTTATTTTCATTCTCTTTGCTTTGTCTTAAAGTCATTTCCATATTAAATCCTAAGCTAAATAAATAAAAAATACTAAAGTAAATATAATAAAAACATCTTACTGTTTTTTTATTGACAAAACTACTTACAGCTATGAATTTACTTTATGAGAATTACTTTACCCACATTTCATAGATTTTGATACGTAGCAATTTCATTGTTGAAGACTAACTCTAAGATTTTATCTAAGAACAAGGTATTAGAATTAATCTATTTCTGAAGAAACCTTTAGGTGTTAAACTGTTAATTTTCAATAAAGATGGTATTCATTAAAACAGTGGCCATCATACATTTACTTTATTACAAGTAACTTACTATAAATGAAACAATTTTAATATCCAGACTTGAACCTCTTGATCTTCTCGAATAAGACTTGTCATGAAAAGAAACAATATTTAAATAACCTAGCTAGTTGGTTAGAGCACAGTGAAAATATAGCAGAGTTGTGTATTAAATCTCTCATTGAGAAATTACACAAAAGAAAACCATGAGTAAAGATTGACCCATAGTCCCATTAACCATTTCGTAAGTGCTACTTATTAAATAAAGAAGTTTCAGCAACATCCATCAATTCTACCAGAAAAAAAGCTCAACACCAAGATCATGTTCTCAGCAGACTTAAAGACACACGTCTGGCGGAATCTGAAGACGACCTGACCTCCCACAATCTGAGTAAATGCACTGTATGTACCTGTTCTTCATGAGGCGAACCTCTCTCTTTCGTGCTGCTTCTTCAGCAGGCTGTGTAGGAAGTGCTGGGGAGGATGCCATAACAACTCCGGGGGCAATGGTGCTAGTGGGTGCTGTGCGAATCTGGTATGTCTGTACATCTCCAGAGGCAGCTGAGAAGAAAAACCGTGAACATGGTGTAAAGACACTGAAGCACCGTGACTTGGTAAAACTACGCTGTGTCAATCATCAATCTAAACATACATTTTGGATTGCAAGGGAAAAAAAAAGAAGGAATGTGATTGTAACTAAAACATTGAACTAATCAGCCCTCTTTGGGTCATTACTGACAAATAATTTCCAATTTAATGTATTTATTAGTATAGACACGTGGGTGAAAGAGGCCTTCACCTATGTCTTCTGGGTCTTGTATTTATCTTTCATTGGAATGCAGTTCTATTCTGTTAACATGCTTACCAACCTTAAGTCTAAAAGGTAAGTAGGGCACAGCTTGGATGATCTTCCTAGATAGAGTATACTCCTCAATGTCTTCCTTTGATATTGGTAAATTCATATTAAAAAATTTCAAGTAGACTCTTGCCACGACATAAAAACGACCATGATTTTTCATAAAATAGCAAAATGGAAGAGAAAATAAAGCATTATGGTCAACTATTATAAATTTCTAATTGAAACAAAACTGTAAGTATGAAAACGTGTACCACGTGATGCCAATTATATTACTTGTTTCAATGTAAATGCTAATGGCTAAATAAACCGAAGTTTATTTTTCTACCTAAATGATCTATCACTTGTGAAAAGAAACACAACCATTATTTGTCAAACTGCTTCTAGAAACAGCTTAGGAATATGCCCTCCTAAGAATAAAGAACCTAACACTATCTGAGAGAATTTAAAGGTCTGTATAAAATTAGCCATGTTAGTCATTAATTTCAATTAAAATGTGTAGTCTGAGTGGAAAAGATTTATATACTAAACATGTTACCATCTTCAAACTGACGTTCAGAATTCAAATTCACTGACATCCTGCTTTACAATTTTTGAGTACCTGCATGTAAAGTGAAAAGGTGTTTTACTCCCATTAATAAACAAAATATTATCTTCTTCAAATATTATTTGTTTAGTAATAGAATATATTCTGTAAATACATTAGGGCCTTTTAAATAAATGATGACTCTCTAGTTGGGTATTTTAGGATTATTCAAAAATTATCATCTATGGTGAAGGGGTAAGATGGTCACTGCCTAACAGAGGCAAAATATATTATTATTAATAAAAATATTTTTAGAAACAGATTTTAAAAGTATTTCCTCAACATGCAAGTTTCAATCTGGCATAAATCATACTCTTAAAATATTCAAATAGATTCAAAGAAAAACGGTCCACTCCTATCCGTAAAGATTCCTAAGACCAATAAATTATTTAATTTAAAAACTAAAACAAAGCAAAAAAAGCTATTTCTACAGTCATCAAGGATTTAACTACTACTACTTCTCTATAGACCAGTAGACTTACAAACTGGTATAAGATATTTCAGAACATACTGCTTTCATTTGAAATAAAAAATGATGATCTTAGAAATTAGGATGTCAATTTCTTGAGTAAGAAATAGAGAAACAGATTATTTAGTAAGTTCTATACCCAATGTGGGGCTTGAACTCACAATCCTGAGATCAAGACTGCATGCTCTACCAACTGAGGCAGCAAGGTGCTTGGAACCTCTGATGATTCTTAGCAGTGATTTAATAAAACTCTTATTTGACACATGAATAAAAATGAGGCCCAGAGAGGTGAGTCCTACTCAAGATCACACAGCAAAACTATGCAGTTAGATCTAGAATCTAGCTTTCCTAACTCCTGATTTCACTATCTTTCCTTGTAACCTACCCTTGTTTCTCCTATCCCCAAATGCTGGAAGTGTTAAAGAGGTTATATTTTTTAAACTGAAAATAGTTGTTTTTATGCCATGACATTTGGGTCCAACTGGAAAAATAGAAGAGTTTATGGAGAACATTATCTATAATGAAAACAAAATTAACTACATTTTCACAATGCTCTGCAGTATCATACTTACTTTATCTGAGTTTATAAAATTTTTACCCTTTCAAAGAATTTACCACACCTATGAATTCTGAATTCTCTTACCTTGAACAACAACTTGGTTGCTGGGCACTAAGATCTGCTGTCCGTCAGTGGTCTGTGCGTACTGTAGAATGGTAGTGCCCGGCTGAGTGGCAGCTGCATTGGTCATGGTTAATGTTTGCAGGCCCTGTACCCCATCGGTACCATTGTTAGCCAGCTGTATTGCTCCTCCCTGGGTAATGGCAACTAAAACCCAATGGATTTTATGGTTATCAGTTTAATTAATGCCATATCAAACTTTTACAACACACTACATTCAGTAGAATAATGTGTAAGACCTGATCTAGGAGAAGTTATTATAGCAAATGACACGGCCAAGAAGGATTTGGTAGGATTTGGTAGACTCAAGTAACTTTCTGCTCAGGAGACCCATATCCTATTGCTAGAATATAAATGCACTCTATGAACCATATTGTAATTTATAGTAACACCTGTTAATAATTTTTAAAAAAATGAATGAAAAAATGTTAAATTCCTTTGTAAGTGGTTGGTTCAGAGGAGGTACCACTTTGTGATCCATATTTCCTTTATTCTAGTCTTAATTATGCAATATTTTAATTGTTTAATATTCGCTATCCCACTAGAAAGTAAATTTCTTGAAGGCAGAAAATGTGATTTTTCTTCTCTATTTTCACATAGTTAGCAAAGAAATGGGCAATAATAGGCACCCAATAAATGGCTGTTTTAATACACAATTAATAAAGCAGTTCAGTAGCGCATTCTGTTCTCTAACTCAGTTAGCAATGCTTAAACTGTAACAAAACGTCCACTCAGCGAAACTGATACATCCTGTGAGACTCATTTATCATAGAGTATCTCGCAAAGTTAAAAATTAGTGCTCAAGATCAATCATTTAGAAAAACTATTTAACTGCTATTTCTGTTACATATTCAAGCATCTCATACAGGATCCTTTGATTATTCACTAATTAACCACACTTGTCATTCACCTGTTATGAAGTAATCAACTTTGGCTCATACTAAAAGATATTTCACTTTATTAAAAAAAAATGAATTCACCTTCATACTACAGTAGATGGAAAAGTTAAGAGAAAGAGATAGGTTATTATTTTATTTGAACAAAGCAATCCTTTAGCTACCAGCATTAAGTTGGTGGTTGGATCCTCTCGAGATACTCTCCCTCTTAAAAGTTTTCCAGAAAGAGGACTAAAATCACAATATTACATATAAAATTGCATAATGGATTTTAACTGAATAAGTCAACATGTCTGACTTATGCATTTTACTTTTTTATTTTGTCTGTTAGAAGGGAGTTATTTGGGATCAATTATCTGCCAGCTCTAAGAAACTAATATGCTGAGTCATCTGTATGAGCAACATTGATTAACTACTGTTCAGTCAAGAAATAATAACAGTAAGTAGCTATGATTTGCTTTAGCAAATGATAAATGATACCTATTGGAAATTAAGATACTGGCATTTATAATCCATCTACTTTAGCTAAGTCTGTAAGTTTTACTTCTCTTAGGCAATTAAAAAAAAAGGAATATGTAAGAACTGTATTGAGATTAAAATGGCAGGTAACTTGAAAGAATCAGAAGGGGAACAATCAAACCACAATTTCTTCTTGGCTACATACCAATGAACTCAAGGTGGGAGAAAAGAAGTAGGAAACTAGGTATCAGCAGATCTGAGTTCTAGTCCAGGTTCCATCAGTACACTGTTATTTGAATCTGTCATCTCTTCTGTAAAAATATCCGGTTCTAGCCATACTAACTACAACTATAAAAATCAAATGAAGTCATATATATGAAAGTACTCTGAAAACAAAAGTCTGATCCTATCAGACATGTTTTTCTCTGTACTATTTATTTATATACTTGATTATTCCAAAAGGATTTGGGATGGCTTTCAATAAAACTAAATTCATTAAAACAAGAAGAAAAAGATAGAAGTCAAGTAACTGATGTGTCTCTACCACAGAGATTCTACCAGAAAATCTAGAGGAAGAATACAATTAAACATAAACTCAGCTGAGATTCTGAGTAAAGTGAACATGAGGAAAACATCATAGGTTATAGTTGTATTTAGTGAAACAAAAGATTCAAGTTCCAAATGATAGACACTTGTGTTTCTAACTTAGAACTCCTCAAAAAAGACTTTATTTTACTAGGAACAGTGAACAAAGTAATGGATAAAACTACTAACAGCATTAAATTAAAAAAAAAAAAAACAAAAAAACAATGTATGGAAGGAATACAAACTGGTGCAGCCATTGGGAAGGGAAATTGGGCAGGATGTGCTTTGATTCAACAATTGCACTCTTTTTAAAAAAAAAATTTTTTAATGTTTATTTATTTTTGAGAGGGAGAGATAGCATAATATGGGGCTCAAACCGAGAGATCATGATCTGAGCCTAAGTTAGACACTTAACCGACTATGCCATCCAAGTGCCCCAACAATTCCACTCTTTGGATGCTATCCCACTGAGACCTCATCACATATATAAGAATGTTCATGTCTTACTGTTTAAAACAATAGAAATGTCCTAAATGTTTACCAATGTGTGTGTGTACGTATATGTGTGTGGGTGGGGGGGGGGCGGGGGATGTTTAAATAAAAGTTACATTTATATAGTGAAACACAATGTAGCTGTTGGAAGAAATTATATATATAGTACATAAGTAATGTAAGTCTCACTTGTATAAAAATACTGTACATGGTAACATATTTATGTATAAATAAAATGAAAAAGAATGGACAGATATATACCAAACTCTTACTACTGGGGAGAGATGAAAAGGATTAAGTTAAGAAACATATAAATGTTGTATATGTGTCAAGAACATAATGTTAAATCAATTCCATCAAGGAAATAGGTGTATACTCTAAGAGAATAATGGATAATGCAATAAAATTTTAAAAATCTCAAAGTATGAACTTTCTAAAACTAGCAATTTTCAGTTGCTGGGACAGAGTGGTATGCCAAATTAAACATCTACATTTCTGAATTTGCCTTCCCTATTTGAGATTCTATATGCCTTTTCTCTAAAGAGCATGCTTTCTAGTTCAAGTGAGATTCCCTGCACAACTGAATTACTAACAGGAGTGTGGTGTATCCCTCAGGTTTCTGTTGAAGTACAGAGAAAAGTAAATGTCATATATCAATGTCTCAGAACACACATCTTGAATACTTCAAATTATTTGGATATAAGGGTTACAAAACCCACATACATGTATATAGATGGTACCTGTTTGTCTCCACCAACAAAGAACTCAAGAAGGAAAAAAGGTGACTGAACTCCAGTAAGCACAGTGTGAACAAGAAGCTTAGTCAAAAAAATGCTTTCCTTCTACTCACTTTCAAAAGTTTCAGCTTCAGGACAGCTAAAAAGTCTGCTACTTAGGAATCTATTTTTAATACAGTTGGAATGCAAATTAGTTATGTAAACAAAGGCTGAACTATACAAAAACTATTAATTTGGGACTCAAACTTTTATACACATTCCTGACACAGACCACCCCTGGGCATTAGAAAATTAATGCAACAAGGGAGTGTCAATGAGTACATTTAATTTGCAATAAGGAAGAAAGGGGGGGAAACTACATAATGGCAAGCAATGGATTTTTTTCAACTTTATTTTGAGACAGAAACAACACGTGTGGTAGGGGTAGAGAGAGAGAATCCCAAGCAGACTCCGCACCGTGAGTGTGAAGCCCAATGCGGGGCTCAGACTCACAAACCGTGAGGTCATGACCTGAGCTGAAATCAGGAGTTGGACGCTTAACCGACTGAGCCACCCAGGTGCCCTTAGGAAGTACTGGATTTAATGAACACATCAAAATGAAGAAATCTACGTGTGAGGCACTTAAGGAGGCAAAAGATACTGGGAAAAGACAGAAAAACACACCATTCACACAAATGCCTCTGATCAAACAAAAGCAGAGCTCAAAAGTACTCTGTAACAGATTTGGGTGAAAGATAAGGAGAGAGACCTAAGTGTCAGATAGAGACATGACAGAAATGGAAACTTTGATAATTTTGCAAAAGAAATCTTTGCCTTCTCTGAGCCCAAAGGCCAACTGTGCTCTAATTTTGGCAGTCCTTATGTTTATGCTATCATAATTCACTATCTTACCTTTTACATTAAAAAGAATAATGATTTGAATGTGTTGGTAGACTATAACCAAGCCTGTCGACATCCACCACAAAACATTAAATACGATTTTAAAATGCTACTTTTAGAACGGAAAGTGAATAAAAATAAACCGTTTTTATCCTTAAACATAATCAGAGAATGGTTATCTTATCTGAAAAAGTATGTCCTCTATGACCATCATATATCACACGAGGACTACAATCTAGAGCTCCAAGCAGCGATTCAAAAAACTTTCAAGACTCTCCCAGTGTCTGCACAAAACAAAGGACCACCTAAAGGGCTAAAGTGCTTGAGTCATCCCAACAAAAACCCCGAAGAAAAGAAAATACTTCTGTTCCAGAAGTCTGCACAGTGAACAGTAAAGGAAGTGTAATTGATCACATCCAAGACTGAGGAAAGAGTTGGTACTTGCAGGATTCCTTTAAGGAGAATGCAGCCATTAGTGTTTTGGTCTCACTTTCCAAAGCAGAAATATCTTCTACTCACTGTACTGTCCGCTGCTCGTTTGGTAAATCGGAGTTGGCACCGTTACGGTGGTGATGGCAGGTGCTGAGGTCTCCTCTTCAGACTTCTCTTCTTCAATCCTTGGCACTCCTGGTGCATCTGAAGACAAGTCATTCAAAATTTTCCTAGAAAAAGAGAGAACTGTATTAACTAAAATAAAAATAACATTTACTGGCTAAATACAAATAACAGGAAAGGAAAATGAGTGGAAAGTTGCTAGTGCTTAGGACAGCAGTTTAAAATGTAAGAACAAGAATAAACCATAAACGGATGAGGAATCAATGTGTCAAAATGAAATCACACAAGGACTAGAAAAAACGATGAATTTCTCTTTAATTTGAATGTAAAGGGAAGCAATCATTCAAAATCTAGGTGTAAGCAGAGGTTAATAAACTTGATTACAGGGGCGCCTGGGTGGCGCAGTCGGTTAAGCGTCCG